AAAACCCACAAGAACCTAGTGATTCCAGCCATGAAAGCCTTCGACAATACACAGAAAAGAACAAGTCGGGCCCTTTTCTGAAACCAGAAAGGAAAAATGGAAACTGCATCAGATGTTTTGCTAATGAAATAATGATGCCTTACCACCCAGCCATTAACAAGACCATTTAGGTTGCAGGATATTAAGAGCGGGGCGATTGCGCCTAACAGGCTGGGTTCAACATCTGTTATGCCGGAGTCCCCTCATGTTCAATTGCGTCCCATTGTCTTCCGATTATCCAACCCCATTCATTGCCATTGCCTCTGCAAAGGATTAATCAACTGCTTGCCTTCACATGATGTTTTAGAGTCATGACAGGAACAATTGGGCTACGGTTTTGGATCAAAATGCCATGCTCTGAGTCTGAATGAAAAGATGACTCGCTCATGAATACACGGTAACAATTTAATTAACCTGAAAATTATGTCAAACTTCCTTGTTTTGCTTGGTGACTCACAGCGTGTTTTAGAAGGCGAGAAAACATTAGTATGAAAAACTGGAAAATAACGACGACTTTATAAGAAAGCTGAAATTGTTCTTCTAAAAGGTTAACTTTTGATCCTCTTATTATAAGCTCGTGTAATGTTGACCCAAGATTATTAGTTGTGTGTTTTATTTTAGTATTCTCTGTTATGATTTAATAAACGTCTTCATGATAGATTACATGTTTCTCTAAAGGCAATAAACATTCTGCTCGATCAAACTACAAGAGAGGAGATTCCATCTGAACATGAGGAAGAACTTCCTGACTGTGAGAGCCGTTCAGCAGTGGAACTCTCTGCCCCAGAGTGTGGTGGAGGCTCCTTCTTTGGAAGCTTTTAAACAGAGGCTGGATGGCCATCTGTCAGGCGTGATTTGAATGCAATATTCCTGCTTCTTGGCAGGGGGTTGGACTGGATGGCCCATGAGGTCTCTTCCAACTCTTTGATTCTATGATGTGTATCTGTTTATTGTTGTGAAAAAGAGTGTTTCGATTGAGATTAAGGTTTTAAATTCTCTGTGTTATTGTTTATATGTGAGTTATATTAATTGTACTGTTTTATTTGCTTGTTATTTTGTTTTTACTGATGTGTTGTTGGCAGAGGCGGCCCTAGGTAATTTTCAACGGTAAGCAAACAGTATTTTGGCACGCCCCCCCGCCCCCAACCAATCACTGATATATATTTTCTGTTCGTTGTGGGAGTTCTGTGTGCCATATTTGGTTCAATTCCATCATTGGTGGAGTTCAGAATGCTCTTTGATTGTAGGTGAACTATACATCCTAGTAACTACAACTCGCATATGTCAAGGTCTATTTTCCCCCAAGAGTGCCTCAAGAGCGCCCCAGGCAAATTCAATTATACTGCAAATGCTTACTTTGCGTAATGGTTGAGCCTCCCCTGGTTGTTGGGCTTGGCCTCATGTAAGCTGCCCCGAGTCCTGTTGTGGAGGTGGCAGCGGGGTATAAATAAATTGTATTCTCGAAGGCTTTCATGGCTGGAATCACTGGGTTGTTGTAGGTTTTTTCGGCCTGTATGGCCATGGTCTAGAGGCATTCTCTCCTGACATTTCGCCTGCATCTATGGCAAGCATCCTCAGAGGTAGTGAGGTCTATTGGAACTAGGAAAATGGGTTTATATATCTGTGGAATGACCAGGGTGAGACAAAGGACTCTTGTCTGCTGGAGCTAGATGTGAATGTTTCAACTGACCACCTTGATTAGCATACAATGGGCTGACAAAGTTTGCTCCAGGCACAGTCAGCCCATTGTATGCTAATCAAGGTGGTCAGTTGAAACATTCACACCTAGCTCCAGCAGACAAGAGTCCTTTGTCCCACCATAGTCATTCCACAGATATATAAACCCTTTTTCCTAGTTCCAACAGACCTCACTACCCCTGAGGATACATTCAGGAGAGAATGCCTCTAGACCATGGCTATACAGCCTGAAGAAACCTACAACAACCCTATAAATATATTATTATTATTATTATTATTATTATTATTATTATTATTATTAACATTTGATGTCTCTATCTATCTATCTCGGTAATCTATATCCTATAGTTGCTGTCTGGTGGATTCCAAATCTAATTTCTCAACTGGAATATTTATGTTATGTGCTGTTATTTGTTTTTATCTGATTTTTTTTTGGAGCCCCCGGTGGTGCAATGTGTTAAACCCCTGTGCTGGCAGGACTGAAGACCGCAGGTTCGAATCCGGGGGGAGGCGGATGAGCTCCCTCTATCAGCTCCAGCTCCTCATGTGGGGACATGAGGGAAGCCTCCCACAAGGATGATAAAAACATTAAATCATCCAGGCGTCCCCTGGGCAACGTCCCTTTCAGACGGCCAATTCTCTCACACCAGGAGTCACTCCTGACACGACCAAAAAAAGTAATCTGATGTTTTAATTGGTTAAGTGTTTTATATGTGTGTTTTAATTGTAATTTTGGGCATGTCCCTTGTAAGCTGCCCTGAGTCCCCTAGGGGAGATGGTTATTAGTTATTAACCATACATTTACATCTATGCATTTACATCTATTTTCCTACATTTACATCTATACATTTACATCTATTTCCCTATCTATTTTTCAAGTCAAATCTAAGTAAGCTCATTATTTACAAAAAGATGGATTGAACCTCTTAGGTGCAATCCGAGACTTATTTGTCATATCGTAGCAAATAGGAACATTTTTGAACATGCTGCCTTTCGAGGCATAATGATCCCATAGCACTTTGTCCTCCAAAGCACTTTACATTTCTTTAGGTCTGCCCTTCCACAAACACCAGTATCACCTTTCGTCCATGTCCCAGCATCACTTCCAATTTTAATTTTACATTTGGCCTTCCCACTGTTTTTAATTGTGTGCTGTCTTATTGATAACTAGCTGTCCCCTGCCACACGTTGCTGTGGCCCAGTCTGTTGATCTGGAAAATAGAGGAATGAGAAAGTGTTGGTTTATGTAATAACTTTATGCTTGTGGGTAAACAGTTGCTGTTTCTTTTGTCAGTGTTGATGTGGAGAGTGTCTGGTTTGCCCACATATCATTGTCCTCCTTTAAGGGTCCCTTTCAGATCTATACTATATCTCTCTGTGTGTGAATCATATCTATCTATCTCTCTATATCTATGGCTGGGTGGCTCTTTGTCCAGAGGGCTTTGATTACGTTTATCTTGCTTTGATGAAGGGAGTTGGATTGGATGGCCTTAAGTATTTTCTGTTGGTCATGGGGGTTCTGTGTGGGAAGTTTGCCCCAATTCTGTCATTCGTGGGGTTCAGAATACTCTTTGATTGTAGGTGAACTATAAATTCCAATAACTACAACTCCCAAATATCAAGGCTATTTCCCCCAAACTCCATCTGTGTTCATATTTGGACATATTGAGTGCTTGTGCCAAGTTTGGTCCAGATCCATCATTGTTTGAGTCCATGGTGCTCTCTGGATGTAGGTGAACTACAACTCCAAAACTCAAGGTCAGTGCCCACCATACCCTTCCAGTATTTTCTGTTGGTTATGGGAGTCCTGTGTGCCACGTTTGGTTCAATTCCATCGTTGATGGAATTCAGAATGCTTTTTGATTGTAGGTGAACTATAAATCCCAGCAACTACAACTCCCAAATAACAAAATCATAATTTTTGAGTGATGGTCACTCCTTGTGTTGTGAGACGTTTTGTTGCCAAATTTGGTGTGATTTCGTTCATTGGTTCTTTTGTTCTTAAGGAACTCATTATGCACAGAGCATTTTTATACATATAGATGTTGTATATTTTATTGTCTATGTTTTTATTTTATTTTAATTACTTGTATTGTTGTTTTATTGCCTGTATTGTTGTATTTGGGCTCGGCCTCATGTAAGCCGCACCGAGTCCCTTGGGGAGATGGTAGCGGGGTACAAATAAAGTATTATTATTATTACTATTATTATTATTATTCGAAATGGGCACATTTTTCTTGCCCAGCCTTAAGCAGATCCTCTTCCTCTTGGGTTTCGTTATCCTCCTTAAAAGTTTCTTCTCCCACCCAAGCACTTTTAGCAAGCCAACTCCACACTACTGTGATGTGTCAGGAAAGGTTTCTGCTGAGCTGCAGAAGGTTATTCACTGAAAAGACCTTTTGCTTAGCTGTCGTGGTTCTTGGGGGGCCAGCAGGCAGACACTAGTCCAGATGGCAAATTGTTAGTGCTGGACAGACAGGGCTTTGGGAGACTTCTCAACAGATGAAGACTGCCATGTCAGGATTTTGTTGGAACAGTTTTTTTCTTTTTGGGTAGACGTGTGTGTGCGTGTGCATTTGCCGTTCCCAGGGTGGGATGGTGCTGGGATGGAAGCAGAGGGGCCGCCCACCCACCTGCTGCCACCTGTTCTGCTTTGGCTGCTGTTTCTATAAAGGACTTCCCTGGCTGGTCACTTATGCTTAGCCACCAGCACGAGCGACTGATGAAGGACCACGGATACTTCCCTCCTCTGAGCATCAGAATTACACAGCATCACTATAGAGAGGAGATTGTCGTGAAGGAGAACAATTCAGGCCTTCTCCTTGTTGATGAGCAGTCTACCGGATCTGGCTTTTTTGGGGAAAATAAACATCATTTAGGCTATCTTTTGGATTAAATGAACTATTCCTTCTCTCTGCCTGCCTCTCTCTTTTGGTCCTGCTTGTGCCCTTTTTGATGTTGAGCCGAAAGAACGGAAGGATCAAAACATCTGAATGACTGTCGGGCAAACTTTTAATTCTAGAAGAAAGTGCCAAAGGGACAATTTCAAACTTCAACGCTTTTGATCAGTCATCTGAATGACTGTCGGGCAAATTTTTAATTCTAGAAGAAAGTTCCAAAGGGACAATTTCAAACTTCAATGTTTTTGATCGGTTCTGGAAGTATGTTCTTTTTGAAGATAAGTCCATCTCATTGAACTTTGGTTCCTCTCTCTCTCTTTTTTAAGCATTCTATTTGCCGAACGTCATTCTTTTCTGTTTTCTTGTGTGCTTCTGCTGGGGTGCGTCTTTCATTACGCAAACACTCCCACATGAAACCTTGCAAACTCAGTAACGGCATGGATTCTGAATCAGAAGCTGACATCCAGTGCAGAAGCGGGGCTGCTTGTGCCGCCAAGTGTGGCTCTGAACGCCTGGAGAATGTTGCCAAGCGGAGGCTTGCTGCGAACGCCAGGGAGAGAAGACGGATGCAGGGGCTGAACACAGCCTTTGACCGCCTACGCAAGGTGGTCCCCCAGTGGGGACAAGACAAAAAGCTTTCCAAATATGAGACCCTCCAGATGGCCCTCAGTTACATCATGGCATTGACAAGGATCCTTGCCGAAGCCGAAAGGTACAGCGCAGAGAAAGACTGGATTAACTTCCACTGTGAGCATTTCCATCCGGAGAACTGCCACCATGAGTATACGGGACAGAAGTCCACTGGGGAGGTGGACCCTTACGCACAGAGACTTTTCAGTTTCCAGCCTGACCACTACTGAATGGACAGAGCAGTATGATTTTGGCATAGGCATTTCTGATATCTATCTATCTATCTATCTATCTATCTATCTATCTATCTATCTATCTATCATCTATCATCTATCTATCTATCTCTATCCATCCATCCATCCATCCATCCATCCATCCATCCATCCATCCATCCATCTATCTATCCACCCATCCATCCATCCAGTCATATATCCATCTATCTATCTATCTATCTCTCCAGGGGCGGCTCAACCATTACGCAAAGTAAGCATGTGCAGTATAGTTGATTTTGCCCAGGGGTGCTCTTGGGGGAAAATAGACCTTGACATATGCGAGTTGTAGTTACTGGGATGCATAGTTCACCTACAATCAAAGAGCATTCTGAACTCCACCAATGATGGAATTGAACCAAATATGGCACACAGAACTCCCACGATGATCAGAAAATATATATCAGTGATTGGTTGGGGAGGGGGGCAAAATACTGTTTGCTTCCGTTGAAAATTACCTAGGGCCGCCTCTCTATCTATCTATCTGTCTGTCTTCTTTCTGAGTACGAGACGAGCTGTATAAGGTAATTTCTGGTGTTTCTCATTTTTTGCCAGTAACATGCTGGTTTCATTAGATGAAAGCAATTTGGAACCATCTCAAATGCTCTTTGTTCATACATCACATCTGTGCTCCCTTCCCATGAAATGTGCGTGACATATGTTGTGCTGCATCCTACCATTTAAGACATCATTTTTCATTGCTGATACAATGGGAAAAAAACCTTATGATGCATCAATGATTGTCGAAGGCTTTCATGGCCGGAATCACTGGGTTGTTATAGGTTTTTCCCGGGCTATATGGCCATGTTCTAGAGGCATTTTCTCCTGACGTTTCGCCTGCATCTATGGCAAGCATCCTCACCTAACTACCTCTGTGGATGCTTGCCATAGATGCAGGCGAAACGTCAGGAGAAAATGCCTCTAGAACATGGCCATATAGCCCGGAAAAAACCTACAACAACCCAGCATCAATGATTGTCAAACCGGGCACACAGAACAGTATTTAGGCTGCTTGTTAAACCCACTGAAGCCATCGTGGACTAAATATAATCCTCCTCCTTCTTTAATCCCTTCTTTGAGGATGTTATGTATTCCCATCCCATGAATTGTGATACAGGAAACAGGAATTACGCTGTTTAATCCTCAGAGCAATAACTTCCTTAAACTTTGTAAGTTTGCTGAAATGGATTTTCCAGACTAAATTGTGCACTCACAGTTTCTCTGGGGTATGCTCAGAATAGAGCTGATTTCAAATATAGTAACTAGAGTGTTTATATCTTCTTTACGCTAGTAGTAAAGATAAATTAGTTTGTGTGACACAGCGATACAAATAATTGCATGAAACGATATAAATTTAGAGTGTGTGAATTACGCTGATGCTGTGGTTTTTTTTACATTGTTCTGTTTCCTTGAAGCCGTCAGAAATTTTATAAGCTATAAATAAACATGTTTTTTTTACATCTTAGAGCCTAGTCTGATTTTTCACAAAGTAGTAAGCGCCGTAGGTGTTATATATGCTATAGTTCTCAACCTTTCTAATGCCACAACCCCTTAATACAGCTCCTCATGTTGTGGTGACCCCCAACCATACAATAAGTTTTGTTGCTACTTCATAGCTGTCATTTTGCTGCTGTTATGAATAGTAATGTAAATATCTGATATGCAGGATGTATTTTCATTCACTGGACCAAATTTGGCACAAATATCCAGGGACGGTTCAACGCATTACGCAAAGTAAGCATTCGCAGTATAGTTGATTTTGCCCAGGGGCGCTCTTGAGATGCTCTTGGGGGAAAATAGACCTTGACATATGCGAGTTGTAATTACTGGGATGTATAGTTCACCTACAATCAAAGAGCATTCTGAACTCCACCAATGATGGAATTGAACCAAATATGGCACACAGAACTCCCACGACGAACAGAAAATATATATCAATGATTGGTTGGGGGGGGGGGGGCGGCGCCATAATACTGTTTGCTTACTGTTGAAAATTACTATTGCAAATATCCAATACACCCAAATTTGAATACTGGTGGGATTGGGGGAGGGTATTGATTTTGTCCTGTGGGAGTTGTAGTTGCTGGGATTTATAGTTCACCTACAATCAAAGAGCATTCTGAACTCCACCAACGATGGAATTGAACCAAACTTGGCACACAGAACTCCCATGACCAACAGAAAATACTGGAAGGGTTTGGTGAGCACTGACCTTGAGTTTTGGAGTTGTAGTTCACCTACATCCAGAGAGCACTGTGAACTCAAACAACGATGGATTTCGACCAAACTTGGCATGAATACACAATATGCCCAAATGTGAATAGTGGTGGAGTTTTGGGAAAATAGACCTTGATATTTAGGAGTTGTAGTTGCTGGGATTCATAGTTCACCTACAATCAAAGAGTATTCTGAACCCTACCAACGATTGAATTGGGCCAAACTTCACACAGAACCTCCATGACCAACAGAAAATACTGGAAGGGTTTGGTGGGAATTGACCTTGAGTTTTGGAGTTGTAGTTCACCTACATCCAGAGAGCACTGTGGACTCAAACAACGATGGATTTCGACCAAACTTGGCATGAATACACAATATGCCCAAATGTGAATAGTGGTGGAGTTTTGGGAAAATAGACCTTGATATTTAGGAGTTGTAGTTGCTGGGATTCATAGTTCACCTACAATCAAAGAGTATTCTGAACCCTACCAACGATTGAATTGGGCCAAACTTCCCACACAGAACCTCCATGAACAACAGAAAATACTGTGTTTTCTGATGGTCTTTTGTGACCCCTCTGACACCCCCTTGCGACCTCTCCAGGGGTCCCGACCTCCAGGTTGAGAAACACTGCTATAGTAGAATAGTTACTGTGACGACTTCCTTGGGATAGTAAAAGTAACACAGGCATATGACATTGATTTAGTAAAAGAAACATCTCCCCCTATGCCTTATTAGCAGGGGGACAGTTCTCCCAACACTGTAATAAACCACCTTTTGACTCATTTCATTTTCAGGATTATGAAATCGATGATAAAATGTCAAATCCGAAAGATCTGTCCATTTATCTGTACACATACGCATGCCGACATACTTTGTTGTGCAACGATGCAATATTCTAAGAAAACAGGGACCCAATGTCCGGGGATCATGACTGCAGAGTATTTATATGGGAATTCTATATTACGAGTGTCAGGAAATATGTTTGTATCACAACCAGTGTTTGCCAAATTGTACATTATACCAAGATTTTTTAAAACTACAGGTTGAGTATCTCTTATACAAATGCGTTGGACTAGAAGTATTATGGATTCCAGATTTTCGAACATCTGTGTCTGCATATATGTCCATAATGAGATGTTTTGGAGATGAGACTAAGTCGAAACATGGAATTTATATACACATTATACATATAGCCTAAAGATAATTTCATAGAATCAT